TTTTGGACTGTATCTCACTCAGGTCATCTTTAATATAAAGCTAATTTATATTTCAATTGTTTATTTATATTAATTTCTTTTAGAATTTGAAGTGCATTTTCCTACTGACAAAATATGAAGAAGGATTAGATTCTCTTTTACATCTATAAAAATGTATTTAACAAATGATGTAAGTGAAGGAAGGCTAAGTTGGACTCCTTGGAGTAAGGGTCTGTGCAGCAAAATTTTGAAATACAGTCATCACTCCCTGATTGTCCCTTTAAAAAGGGACAATGATATGTCCCTCTTATACTAGAGCAGCGGTTTATTTCAGAAGGGTTAACATTTCTCCAGAGAACTCAGTTTATCCTCTGCTATTTATAGGGCTTTCATTGATTTTCTTCTGCAGCAAGTTTGTATTTGGGAAAGGGGGACTGAGAACCATTTAGGCACCGGTGCATAATTTTTAAAGACAAACATTGCCTGCCTGAGAAAGATCACTGATCATGTTTTAACAGGGGTGTTAATCCAATGTGCATAGTGGAGAATTGTCACTTTCAGAGGGTTTGTTTTATCATGGCTGTTATTTTTAGAGACTAGAACTTGCCAGGTTTCAGCTGACCTAATTATTCCTATTAAAACCATTTTTACACCTTTAATAATTATTAACAAGTATCTAAGAGGGAATAAGTAAAGTTTTTAGAGAATGAGCTGTGTTTCAGGCAGAGGGTATGAGCTCTAAAATATCTTGCAGTTTTGCTTTGTGATTTAAATCAGCTGCTTCCATTTTTATTTGAATGTTCTTTTAATAGATTTCGGTGACCTAGATCATGACCAACAAGAGTTGTGTGGAATTCAACTTGGAGATTTTTAAATTTAATGTGTAAGAATATGGGAAATAATTGTAGTTACTTAAAAAGAGCAGTTATTAGTTTAGGAATTAACGTATTAAGCCACACTGGTGTAATGCATTATTGCTCTGGCACTGGGCTCACCCTCTTCTCTACTTGGCTTCAGCTATTGTGATGAGGGGTGTCTGCATCGAGGTCTTCGTTGCCATGACTGTCCAACTCCGCAGTGTCTTGCATTTCCCCTGGGCATCAATCTCATTGCCTGTTCTAACTGCTTTTGTTACTCTGGAAGCAATCACATGAAGACACATACAATAATTATTTTGTGTTTGTCTTTTTTGAAGTCAGATTATCTGGGTTCTAATTCCAGCTCTACCTTTATTAGCTCTGTGCCTGTGGGCAAGTTATTTAACGTCTATCAGATGCAACTTTTCTCAACAGTGAAATGGAAATAAACATATTAGCCATCTCCATGGCTGTGAAGAGGATTAAATGAAATAACCTGTGGAAAACACTTAGTACAGTACATGGCATGTTGGCAGGGCTCAATAAATATTGTAATTATTTATTACTATTACTTAAAAGGTATATATTGTAGAAGTTTGAAATCACAAACTGTTAATGGTGTAGAAAAAATTTGCCATTGAAGAAATTGATGGTCATATTTATTGTTGTTTATAATGTGAGCACACATGAAAATTTACTGCTTATACTTTCAGGAATCCTCAAATACATTACTTAAACAGCTAGAGAAAGAAAAAAGGAGTCTTGAAAATCAAGTGAAAGATTGTGCACTGAGACTCGAGGAAGAGTCAAAGGTTTGTTTTTATTCTATACTGAGAGATTCCTTTGGAACTGCCATGATGTTTAGTATGTTATCTTCAAACTTGCTATATAGTTATCACAAAATATTTATAGAACTGTTTTGTACACTATTTTAAAAAAAAGCATAGAGACATAAACTTAGCAGTAGCCTTGCTAGTATTGCAAATCTCTGATGTTAGATTCTTTACCTCTATATCCTTCATGTGGGCTTACCACAAGATCAATAGTGAGTGCCGGACGTACATAGCTGAAATGTCTCAGGTAACTGTTGTTTTTTCCTTCTGAGTTCTAAGAGTTTCCTCTTACTATAAATTATGTTTTCCATGTTTCTAAGTCTTTGATTGGTTTGGTTTGGTAGAGAAATGGGCGTTGGAATTACAGGGAGAACAGGTACCAAGTTTCTGTATATGGAGGGTGAAAAGGAAAATATATAACTTTTATAAAAAGGTAAAAAAGGAGATAAAAGTGACCCCAATTAAGAGAATATTTTGCATATCTGCTTCCTTAGTTGTCTTTTTAGCTTGATTTGTAGTTGCTAGAATTCAAACAAATAAGCTATTATCCCTCTGCTATCGTGAAAGTCAAGGGATTTTACCTTGTAGTTATGCATGGTAAGGTCTGAGGTAGACCTGGCTTTCCTGCTAGAAAGTGTGTTCTTAACAAATGACAGGACAGGAATGTGATCGTGAATTATGAACAACATTACACATATTCTCCAGTTTTCCATTTGCCTTTCCATATTATTTATGATGTTGTTGGTATTAAAGAGTTTTTTTTTTTAATGTTGTCAGAGCTGTCTTTTACTTATGGCTTATGTCATACTTAAAAGACTGTCTTCATCTCAATGTTTTATAACATCACATCTTTGTTTAGTACTTAAATGGCTTAATAGTTGACATTTAAATATTTAATCCTTATTAATTTTATTTTGGTATATATTTTAAGGTTAGGATATGAATTCAGTTTTCAATGTGCATTATCCAAATGAAAGTGTCTGTTGGTGTCACAATATCATGTACACATACACACTGTATGCGGAGAGAGCTGATGGCTACTCTAAAGCTTTATTAAGTTACATAGTCTTATATAGCAAAGAAGAATGATAAGGGAAATGGTTAACAGACAGTGTCTGGCTCAAGGTCAGAAGACCCTTTATGTTTTGGTAAATCATGTTCGTGTTGGCACCAGCGAGCCTTACAGCTTATCAGGGTGGAACGTATGAGAAACAGCTGCTTAACAACATTCTTCTTGGACTCAGGCGGCTGTGCCTGTCTTAGGTTGCCCCCCCTCTGGGGATCTTACGTGTCATTGGCTAACCAGCCTTCTCACCTCTGAGTCTGCAGCTTTTTATAACTTGTTTACCATTCCAGCCCAAGGCTCATTCCTTTGTTCCCACAGTCGGGGGGCTACAGTGTCCAAAGAGCAGTTGGATTTGTGACTCTCAGAAAAAAAAGATCAAGATTGAGGATATGGGTTCATAGCTTATTAGCACACAGACAGGAAATGGCACCATGTGAATGAATGGAACACATCAGGCAGAAGACACAGGGTGAAAAGAGGAGATAGTTTAAGATACAGCTCTGAAGAGTTTCACCAGTGATGGTCAAGGGAAGGAGAGCCAAAAAGAGGGTTGGAGCACTCAGGACATAGCTAGGTGAGGCAAGGAGGTAGCAGACCTTGGGGACTGGGTTAGACATAAAGGTAATCGGCTAATCACTGATGTGGAGTCCCCAGAGGATCAATGAAAGGATTGAGAGGAAAGGAATTAGCATTGGGGATTGGAGCCGAGAAGGGGGTGCATAGAACAGCTTGAGAATAAAAGTCAGGGCAATAGTGGGTAAAAGAAGGCTTGGAATTCTAGTGCCAACTAAGGGAAGTAGGACATTGAGACAGAAGAGCATCACTCCTTGTAGTCTCTTACCCACAAAAAGGACAGTCAGTTCAAACTTTATGGCCCTGAAGGCTTGGTTGGAAGCACCGCTTCCTCCTGCAGCGCTGGCACCCACGTTCTCCTAATCCGACTATGTGCTCTCCGCGGGAGAACGTGCTGCTCCTCGTGCATGCCCGTTCTGCTTCCTTCAAGGTGGAGCAAAATGCTGCCTCCTTTATGAGGCCCTGATACGATGAAAGACCACAGACTTTGGAGTCATTGCAAATTTGGATTTGAATCCCAGATTTGAACCTACTGTGGTGTGATCTTTCTGGGCCTTAATTTCTTTTCTCCTGTCTAGGAGGGAAATAGCAGCGGTGTCTTGCAGGGGATTTGTGAGGGTTTACAGATAAAATGTACGTAAAGTGCTGAGTAAAATGCCAAGCATGTAATTGGTTCTAAATTCCAGTAAATGGTGAATATTGCTTTCCTGTTTTTCTTTCTTGGTCTTCCTCGCCCCTCTCTCTGTGACAGGGACATCAGAATCGCTACTCGCTGTAGCCATCACCCTTTACCTTTGTTTACTTGAAAAAATCATTTGGTTGGAATAGTTCCTACTCTGATTATACAGGGTCACTGGACATACAATCAAAGCCTATTTTACCAGCTTCCCAGGAAGATGTTAATCCTGTTTCCCACTATAAATGTTAATAAGGATTTTCAGTCTAGAGTGAACTGTTAATCTTTACAGTCAAAGATGGTTGTGACCATGTGAATACTATGCTGACTGGAAAGGGCAATGAATGATTTGCAGTTCTTTCCATGCTGAATACATAAATAATTGATTCTTTAGTGATAACTAGAGCTATTTGCTGTGCCTGCTGTTTATATTTTTGCTGGCTTCACTGTTTTGACTGAAACTGAGTTTCTACAGCTCAGAATTCTTCTAATTTATATGGTGAATGGACAATAGACATTGGTTTTTAAGAATACACAGGTGAACCTTAGAGGTGTTGTAGGCTTGGTTCCAGACCACCCTGATAAAATGATTATCACAATAAAGCTAGTCACAGGAATTTTTTGGTTTCCAGTGCATTTTGAAGTTATGTTTACACTCTATTGTAGTCGATTAAGTGTGCAATAACTTTGTATAAAAAACAATGTGCATATCTTAATTTTAAAATACTTTATTGCTAAAAGAACTAGCAACACCACGCCCAACACCATGCCTCGCAGTCCCGTTCGCGCGCTCTCTCTCTCTCTTGCTTTCTGAGACAGTCCGCACTCTGTCTATGGAGTGTGTATCTACTTTTACTTTAAACTAAACCCCCAACCCCGCACCTCTTGGCCTTTCTCTTGCCTTCTGAGATGGCCTGCGCTCTAGTGTACATCTCCCAAAGTAAACCTACCTTAACTCACAAAATAAATAAATAAATAAATAAAATAAAATAAAATACTTTATTGCTAAAAAAAATTGCTAACCATCATCTGAGCCATAATCATTTTGCTGGTGGAGGGTTGATGGCTGCTGGCCAATCAGGGTCATGGTTGCTGAAGGTAGGGGTGGCTGTGGCAATTTCTTAAAATAAGACAACAGTGACACTTGCCACTTCATTGACTTTTCCTTTCACAAGTGATTTCCCTGTGGAATGCAATGTTATTTGATAACATTTTAACCACAGCAGAACTTCTTTCAAAATTGGAGTCAATCCTCTCAACTCTGCTGCTGCTTTATCAACTAAGTTTCTGTAATAGTCTAAATCCTTTGTTGTCATTTCAACAATCTTCACAGCATCTTCACCAGGAGTAGATTCCATCTCAAGAAACCACTTTCTTTGCTTATGCATAAGAAGCAATTCTTCATCTATAAGTCTTATAATGAGATTACAGCAATTCAGTCATATTTTTAGGCTCCACTTCTAATTCTGGTTCTCTCAATACTTCCATCACATCCTCAGTTACTTCCTCCACTGAAGTCTGGAACCCCTAAGTCATCTGTGACAATTAGAATCAGCTTCTTCCAAACTCCTGTTAATGTAGCTATCTTGACCTCTTCCCATAAATCACAAGTATTCTTACTGGCATCTAGAATAGTGAATCCTTTCTAGAAGGTTTTCCATTTACTTGGCCCAGACCCATCAGAGGAATCACTATCTATGGCAGCTATAGCCTTATGAAATGCATTTCTTAAGTAATAAGCCTCGAAAGTTGGAATGTCTCCTCGATCCATGGACTGCAGAATAGGTGTTGTGTTAACAGGCATCAGAACAGTATTAATCTCCGTGTCCATCTCCATCAGAGCTCTGGGGTGACCAGGTGCATTGTCAATGAGCAGTGATACTGTGAAAGGGATCTTTTCTCAGATTATATAATAATAATGGAAAAGTTAGAAACATTGCAAGAATTACCTAAATATGACACACAGACACGAAGTGAGGAAATGCTGTTGGAAAAATGGGGCAGATTGACTTTCTTGATGCTGGGTTGCTACAAACCTTGAATTTGTAAAAAATTTTTACAAATTTATTTGAGACTTGCAATAAAGCAAAGTGCAGTAAAGCGAGGTCTGCCTGTACAGACCCCATACTTAAAAGTCAGGCAGAAAGACTGACTGGAGCTTGCTGAGACACATGACAAACGTAACTTCTATTCCCACAAACGTAGAATTCTAGCAACAGATCTGAAAGTTGTTGAATATAATGCTTTGGTTTACAGATAAGGAATCTGAGGCCGTTCTGTTTGATTGTAAGGCAGTTCTAATTTTTCAGGCTTGTTAAAGATCAATTCCTTATTTTTGTCCCTTGAAACTTCTGCTCCTCCTTCCTATTTCTTGAAACTTCTTTAAAACCCATTGGTTTTAGTTCAGTCTTCCAAAGAAGAAGTCTCCACTCCTCCTATAGGACAGCTTTTCAAAGATTTGAAAACAGCCCTCGGTCTTCTCTTAATTTTTCCCCCTAAGCTAAAATATTAAGTACATTAGCCAGTCCTCATGACGTAGGTTCTAGACTATCCAGCTATCTCTGTTGCCTTTTTGGACAACTCGATTTTGTTATTGTTCACTTGAAAATTAGAGCTCTCCAGGTTTCAGTGTAGCTGTTAAAGTCTTGCCCCCACCATACTCATTTTTCTTCTCTGCTGTCTGAATAATCATTCTGAAATACAGATAAGGTGTTGTTCCTGGTGTGAAACCCTCAATGACTTAGCATTGTCCAGAGGATCTCAGCAAAGCCACTCAGTGTGTTCTGCAAGGTCCTGTCCAACACATGGTTCCTGCCTCTCCAGCCGTGCTCCTACTCCCACCTGGTCCTGCAACCAGACCAAGGACGATGCGATTCCTCCATCTGTCATCTGCTTTATACCTTTAGGCCTGTGCTGCTCCCTCTGCCTGGACTGTCCTTTCCCTAGTTCTCAACTGGCTACTATTCCAGATGAATTCCCCTGTGGCCTGAATTAGTTGCATCTGTTCTTTACTTACAGGGCACCTCTGCACACCTCTACCCAGGGAGCAAGTCCTGCAACCTGTTTGTTTTGCTGTTTCCCCAACAGTTTGTAAAAACCATGACTTGTCTTCATACCCTAGTGCCTAATCTAGTGATGGCACATAGAACATGCTCAGTAGCATCTGCTGAGTGAGTAAGTGAGTGAATTCCATCTTCTGGTCCAGCGTGCCCAAAGTTGTCACTCTTAGAAAATGATCTAACATCTTACCTCACAAAGGAAAGAGTTCATCAGGTGTGAAATCCAGCCATCTTCCCTTTTACCTTCAAATGTATTCACATCTTTATCCACCTTTCCTGTTCCTTTTCCTGTCTTAAAGAAAAGGGGCCCCATATTTCTTCCCAAGTCTATCTGCTGCCTCTCAAAGTTATAATTTATTTCCTCATATTTTCAATCTCTCCTCCACTGGCTGTGGCATGTCCTTTGTCTGCAACGTACTCATCTCTTCCACCAAAACACAACAAAAACAAACTTTCATTTTGCCCTATCGTTATAAAACTACTACCTTAGCTTTCTTTTTCTCAGCCAAACTTCTTGGAAGAGTGGATATACTCACTGCCTTTGCCGTTCACTCCTCACCCTCTCTCAGCTGTGTTCTGCTCCCACCACGGGGCTGTGACACAGTTTCTGTCTCAGTAGCCAAGTACAATGACTCCTTTTCAAGCCTCCTGGTAGCAGACGTGTCTGAGGCACTCCATACTGCTCACTATGCTCACTTTTTAGAACTGTTCCCACCCCACCCCTTGACTTCCATGTATATTTTCCTGGATTTTCCTATTGCTTAAATGATGGCCCTATCTTTAGTGCTTCTCCTATCCCTTAGAAGTTGCTTTTCCAAGTTTACATCACTAATCCTCTTAACTTCTCTGGGTGCTATTAACAAGCCATCTCATTTAGTCATGGCTTCAACTGCCATCCCTAAAGTCATCAGCCTCAGTTGTCCCTGAATTGCAGGTTATATTTACACCACCCACAAGAAGTGTCCACTTTGGTATGCTGGAGGAATTTAAAAATAGACAGAAATGAAAATGTGATCTTATTTTTCCATTTTAATACACTTACAGCTTCTATTGTATTATCTACTTAATGGCAGAGTGCATGTATTATTTATATTTATTGTCTGTAGAAACTTAATGCTCTGTACCACATGGATGATACAATTTTCACAATTTCCACTATATTTACCTTAAAAATTGCACGTACTATTGGGTTGGGATAGAGAAGTTTCCAGAATATTTAGAAGCCTGATAGTACTGGAGAAGGCCAGAATCTCTCATTTTTCTTCAGCTTCTCTTATGCATGCTACAAAAGGACCTGGTTAGGCAAGAGTTAATTGGGAATTGATTGTTCTTCTTATCTCTGAAATCAATCATGAAATAAGAGGATAAATGCTCAGCTTTTTGTATTTCAGGGCTCTGGCTCATACCAAGTTTCCAAAAGGCAACAGATGGATCAATTGCCTAAAATGAAGGAGAATCTAGTGAAAACATAAGCCTAACTGTGTCTTTCCTTTCTAGTTAATTATATTTGCCTGTGAATGGTACTGACAAAACAGGTGTCCCTTATATTTTGGAAGTTGAACTTCTAGATTTCATAGCAACAATATAAAATAGCAGATGGTAAGAGAACTTAAGGAAGCTTGTACTCTCCATTCACTATTTATATACATATCTGTGTTAACTTTTACTGCACAGTCACCTTAAATACTTCTTTTTAATTATATATTTATCTTATAGTTCAACTTTCTCTTAAAAAGATATCACCTGCCTTATTAAAATTTGTTTAAATAGTGAAGAGAGAAATATTTTGAAAATAAAAATAAAACTCCTTCATTCTAATTACATATTAACATACTTACACATAAATATTACTAGACTGTAGGTCTCTGAGGGCAGCTTGGTTTTCTCTTGAATACCGTTGTAAGTTGGGTGTCTCAGAGAGGAGACTCTAAAATGTGCAGAGTTTCCCTAATGTTCAGAGTAAGTCAGAACATTAGAAAAATGCCCAACTTAACTGTGAAATTTTATTTTAAGTATCTATCATAGAGGGATGGTGCCTGACGGAGCCATAACATTCCTACTATGTGGAAACATGGCCACAAATGAAGAAGAGGGCTATCCTGCTATTGAAAGATATATTCTAGCAAATTATGTTTATATATATATTGATTTAAAAAAAGGCTCTTTAAGATACATAGGAGAAATAGTTTCTTTTGGATGAGGTTTGGAACTTGCCAGTAGCTTCTAGACAAGTCAATAGGTAACGTTGTTAACTATAACCTATGGCATATCTTGACCCTGGGAAATCATATTCCTGCAAGCAAAGGGCTCAAAAGCTGATACCCCAGGCAATGGTTCCTAGAAGTAGAAAACTAGAAAATTTATTTTTTTCTTTAGTGTGCAGCCTCATTTTTTCTCTGCCTATGAAGAATTTTGGAATAATTAAAGACCATACAGGAAGGAAATAATAAGGCAGTTCTTAGCACCCTGGAATCAAAGGACCTGAGGGAAATTGACTCAAGGGTTTATTAAAAGATGGATTGTTAGGGGAAAATCCTTTTGATATGAAAAGCAGCTAGAGGAGAGAAAACATAACCAAAATATCCAACAGTAAGGGAATAATTCAATAAACTGTGATAATATCATGAAATTACTAAAGATTATATTGTAGAAAAATATATAACTAAAATAGGAAAATGTTTCCCTAACATAGTAAATAAAAATTATAAAGCAAAATAATATCATGGGATTATGGATGATTTATATTTATACTTTTTAGTATTTTCTTTGAGACTATGTATACTTTATAATCATTTTAATAACTTTATATTAAAAGAGAAAAGTCAAAATAAAATACATCTATAAAGACTAAGGAAACCCTCAAGTCAAAATAACACTAAATATTTGTGTAACTAATACAGTACAGTATTTTTATAGATGGTAAGAATAAAGGTGGTGAAAGAATCTACACTGGCTTTTGAGCAAATAAACGTGAATCAGTTTTTGCCTCTACCACTTATTACTTAATATGACTTTATATAAGTAACTTTTTTCAGACTCACCTGCAAAATGAGGGTAGTGAAATCCATATTGAATGGTTAGTATGAGAATTAGAGACTACTGAAAAAAATCTCCTGTTGAATAAACATTAGCTGTTCTTCTTCAACGTACAGTACTTTTTTGAAAATAAAAAATCAGAAAAATAACGAAGAATTGATTTGTGGGAAGAGAATAAGACATATGACAGTAATCTGAAATGGCAAGTGGCAAGTCTACAGCACTGTTGTGCTAACATAATCTTGGCAACGGTCTTGCCTACTACCGTTTATTTAATAACACAATACTCAGGAGTGTAAAATGGTTTTCAAACTTTGTTGACCATGACTGATAGCCTATTGTGCCCAGTTATACCCACATACATATTAAAATATAACTGAAACAATTATGAAATAGTACTTACCCTTACTCTGTGTGATGCATGCTGATGTTTTTTATTCTATTCTGTGTTTTTAATTCAATGTTATTAACTCACTAAACCCATCCACTAGTAAGTTGCATTCTGCAGCTTGAAAAACACTGCTCCAAAAGATAAACATATTTTTAGGGTGATATAATTTATTTTGATGTTTGGTGTCATCATGTTAGTTGGACCTTCTAGAAATAATTCACATTTAGGAAAGGAAATTACTTAAAATATCCTTAATTTAAAAGCATTTAGTAGAGTAAACAATAAATATCTATAATGGTCTATTAAATGTGATATAATTGAATTCTTATGGTTAGTTCCATATTATACCAGAAGGTGAAATTATGCTAAAATGTTGTTATTTAAGTTTAAAAAAAACCAGGAAATAGTTTATTCTCAAAATACAACATTTAAAAATATTTTAATGAGATATAATTCACATGTAAAAAATTCAGCCTTTTGAAGTATGCAATTCATTGATTTTTAGTATATTTACAAGTTTGTGCAACCATTACTACTACATAATTCCAAAACATTTTCATCACACCAAAAAGAAATCTCGTACCCATTAGCAGTCAGCCCCCACACTTCTCTCCCCCCAGCCTCTGGCAATCACTAATCTACTTTCTGTCTCTATGGATTTATCTACTCTTGTTATTTCATATAAATAGAAGCAAACAGTTTGTGGCCTTGTGTGTCTGACTTTGTCACTTAGCATAATATTTTCAAGGTTCATCTATGTAGGAACATGTGTTAGTACTTTATTCTTTTTTGTGGCTGAATAATATTTCACTTTTGGATGTAACACATTTCATTTGTCCATTAATCAGTTGATGGACATTTGGGTTGTTTGCGCCTTTTGACTGTTATGAATAATGCTGCTATGAACATTCCTGCACAAGTTTTTATGCATGTATGTTTTCAATTCTGTTGGCTACATGTTTGGGAATGGAATTGCTGGGTCAACTGGTAACTCTGTTTATCTTTTTAAGAACCTACCAAACTTTTTACCTAAGTGGCTGTAACATTTTATATTCCCACTAGCAATTGAAGGTTCCAATTTCTCTACATCCTTGTCAATATGTATTATTGTCCTTTTTAAAAAAATCCATTCTAGTGGATGTGAAATGGTATCTCATTGTAGTTTTGGTTTACATTTCCCTAGGGATTATTGATGTTGAGCATTTTTCATGTATTTGCTGTCCATTTGTATGTCATGTTTGGAGAAGTGTCTATTCAAGTCCTTTGCCCACTTTTTAATTAGGTTATTTGTCTCATTTCTTTGTGTTGTAAGAGTTCTTTTTGTATTCTGGTTACTAGACTTTATCAGATGTATGATTTGCAAACATTTTCTTCCATTTCTTCTTTGTTGATGATATTCTTTGAAGATTAAAATTTTTGATTGTCATGAGGTCCAACTGATCTTGGCTTCCTAGGATTTTTTTTCTTGGTTGCGTGTGCTTTAGGTATCATATCTAAGAAATCATTGCCTAATCCAAGAACATGAAGATTTATATATGTTTCTTTTTAAGAGTCTTAGAATTTTAAATCCTTTTTGATCCATTTTGAGTTAATTTTTGTGTATAGTGTGAGATAACGGTCCAGTTTCAGTCTTTTGCATGTATCTGTTCAGTTGTCCTAGCACCATTTGCTGAAAAGACTATTCTTCCTCAATGGAATTGCCTTGGCACCCTTTGAAAAATCAACTATAAACATATGAGTCTATTTCTAGACTCTCAGTTTTATTCAATTGATCCGTAAGTCTATCTTTATGCCAGTACCACACTGTCTTGATGACTATAGTTTTTCAGACAATTTTGAAATGAGGAAGTATGAGTCCTTTAACTTGATTCTTCTTTTTCAAGATTATTTTGGTTGTCTGGTGTCCTTTTATTTTCCATGTGAATTTTAGGATTCGTTTGTCAGTTTCTTCAAAGGAATACCACAGAGCTGAGGAAAGCAGGGTAGGGCAAATTAAAATGCCACAAAGCTGCGTTCTTGTTGAGTTTCAGGGGTGGTGTGTGTGTGTGTTAAATTCTCCAGGTTCAGGGGTGTGTGTGTGGGGGGGGTGTGTGTGTGTAATTCTCCAGGATTGCTGCAAGCCTTTGGTTAATTTCTAGAGTTCTGAAAAAGTTACTTCTGACCATTTTTGCCAATCTTCTCCTTGCTTCTACTGAGGGAATAATTTTTGCAGGTCCCTATTCTATCATTTTTGCTGACATCACTCCCTGAGTGAAATGTTTTTTAAAGCACCTTTCAGGGAATTGGAGCTGGCTCTTACCATATCAAGTGAGCACATGGGGCAGTTGGCTTTGTAAAGATACATAAGTCAATAAGAGAAAGGTGATCCCATGGAAATCCAAGAACAGGAATTCCAATGTAAATGGGCCCACAGATACCAGAATTAGGATTCAGGGAAGCTTGACCACCTCCGCAGATGTTCACGGATCATCACTTTAGTGGTTTGCCATATTGAATAATAATTAAAAGCACAGACTTTGAACTCAGACTTCCTGGATTCAAATCCCAGATTCACTTGCTAACTATATAACCTGTTTCTTTCTTCTGTCTAAACAGGGCTAATAATAGAGATTTTGTGAAGTTGGTATGAGTAAATACATAAATAAATAAAATTTAGAATAGTCCCTGACACAGATTATGATCTATAAAAATGTTGCTATTATTATTTGTAGTATAATAGACCACTAGTTTATTCTCTACTTCATTTTTCTTCTCCTTGCCAACTGCCATCTTCATTTTCTATATATCTTTTATATCACAGACATTGGTATATCATAGTTTCAATTTTATTGTAATTTAGATAACATAGACTTACTCGTCAATCCTTATTTCCATCTCGTCCCTGCTCTACTTCCTGGCCTCTCTCTATGTATTTTCTTAGCTTTAATCCACATTTCTAGAGGCTAGTATCAGAATGGTCCATCTTATTCCTGTTTGGACAAAGCTTTCCACATTAGGCCACCCCATGGGCTTCTGCCAGGCCTTTAAATTTTCTTGCACTGGTTGCCTCTCGAGCTTGACGAGATGATACGGTGTAACACGTGGCTGTTTAGGATTATATGGGAGGAAGAAAATCTGCACAGGGAGATTTCCTTGTGAAGGACTGTGCTCTGGGGAAACTAGGTGAAATGCACAGCCCTCCCCACTTAACATATTATGTTTTTCTTGTACCCAGTGGTGACTGAAAAGTCATGATTAACGCTTACTCTATTTCAGGAGAAGGTGTAATTCAGTTACTCAGAAGACAGCGAATGCCATGAGAGGACCAGTAAAAAAGACTGCAAGATCAAACCATCTTCCAAAACTCAATCTGTGATTCCAGACTGAGTGGTTTACTATCTCCCCATTTTTCATATGTAATATTCGACTTGTGAAGCTACTTATTCCCCACACTTTTCAGGGAATGAAATAGATAAGAAAGAGCTATCACACTTCTCTTTAGCTCTTCTTCCAGAAGTTTGTTCCTTTGTCTGTATAAAAGTAATTTTCTCAAGTGACCTAAACTAATAGCTAATGATTTTAAAAATATCCTAGAAAGCCTTAAGGTTGGCATCATTCCACTTGCCTTTACTAATATACCCATGATCTAATCTGATAGTAAGATTGCTGCTTTATTTGGATTCTAGTCGACTATTAGTTAAAAATGTGAGTTCATCAAGACCTTTTGCTATTTTAGGCTATGTCGTGTTCAGCTTTTTAAAACTCAAATTTTAAACAAAGATGCAGATTAGATGAATCTAAACTTTAATTTGAACTATCATGGTGTTGTGGAAACAGCTTTCAATCAGGAATCAGCTCGGTTACAGTTTCCACCCTGCTGTGAACTTAGGAGATTTGGGGCAAGTTCCTTCACCTCATCTTCATTTCCCACATCTGCAAAATGACTGAGGTAAACTAAACAATTTCTAAGGTTTCTTGCCATTCTAGAAGACCAGTACTTGTTCAGCTACAAGGTCCTGCCACTTAGCACATGGTAATTTAAGTTGTTTTATGATGTTTATTAATTTATAGTGATGGCATAGTTCTTTGGACCAAACTGCCAGGTATTCACATCACTCAAGTCTAGAGTGGAAATAGATTAGGGTACGAGAAGTTTTAAGAAATTAAACATTTTTTTAAATTCTGCTCTTCATATTTAGATTGTTTTGTAACAGTCGCCTAGGTCTGGAACATACATCTGTTTATTTCCCTGACTTAATAAGTGAAATTATTGGACTTCAACTTTCCGGAAATCACTCAGAGGTAAGTAGTTTCCAGCTGATTGTGTTTTCCCCTTCTATCTGGCACTAAAACCTAAATTCTATTCAGTATAACCAGTAATGAATGCCAAATGCATTTCTACAACTACTTATAGATATTTACTTTCTTTCTTTAAGAAAGAATGCATATTCTTTAACATAAAAGACAATTCTTTTATGTAACTTTAAAAGTAGTGCAGAGAACAAGGACCTACTGTATAGCACAGGGAACTATATTAGATATCTTATATTTATAATGGAAAAGAATCTAAAGAGGAATATATGTATTCGTATATATGTGTGTGTGTATGTGTGTGTATATATAAAACTGAATCACTTTGCTGTATATCTGAAACGCATGCAACATTGTAAATTAAGTAGACTTCAGTAACGCAAAACAAAACAAAAACAACAAAAAAAGTGATGCACAGAAATATAAAGTAACTTCCTGTAAATTATTCCAAATGGAAACGAATTATTTTCCTGTTTTTAAGCTAACTACAGATAATCAGGTACCATGACCCATATTATTAGATCTTAGATTTCTTATATCTTACACAATCTTTCTTAGCATTAGCAGCAAATTGATCATTTAAATATTAGTGATATTTATAATAATCACAGAATCACCACTAAAAAATAGACACATTTGTTTCTATCACACAGGGCTAAGCCATTGTGGGGATTGGATTGAGAACATTTAAACTGATCTCAGTCACTAGAATGGTGAATTAGTTGAACATCTTATTATGAGGACTCTGTCACATTGAAATGTTAGTTCTGCAGGAGCTACTTTGGGATACTTTCCAATGTCAGAAAATGTCTGTCTTAAACAGAGTGATGGAGGCTGGTGAGGGAATATAAAGAACTGAAATGGAGGACTCTCTAAGATCTGTGCTCTAATATCAGTTTTGCCACTTCTAAGCTTCTGACTCTGAGTAAATCACTTTCCACTGCATCGCTTTCATTTATAGAGCTGGGAATAAACTGCAGTGCAGATCAAAGGTATTTACTACATATTTATTTGTTTACTTCTTTATAGCCTCTTTCCCTCTAAAAAAGATTGTGCCACTTTTTACTAAATATAGCGATATAAAAACAACACCCATAAGACGAAAGATAGAAGTAAAAGTTAAAGTTTTGCAAGATTCCCAACTGAAAAAAAAACTGTCTTTAAGCTTTATAGTAATCAGCACAAGAAAGAATGAGTTATTCAGCTCTCATTTTTTTTGTAGAAGGAATATATAAGTAGACAAAAATTTTACCTAATTCTAAGCTCTGAAGGATAATTTATCATGTAAAGTTTTATAAGAAAATATAATTACTTATTGAAATAACCAGTGCAAAATTGATAATTTGGGGTCTTTGTTTAATACTGAAATATGTATTAATATTAGTATTTATTTTTTGAAGAGTTCAGAATTCATAAAGCAAAACATTACTAAACAATATTTAATATATTTCAAACATGTTAATGTCTAAATGTATTACAAAATGTCAAAAATACCATTTATAAAAACGAATGTTGCTATAATAAAAAAGACAGGTAATAATGAGTAATAATGAGGATGTGGAGAAATCAGAACTCTCATATGCTGCTGGTGGGGATGTAAAACAGCACCTCCACTTTGAAATAAGTCTGCCTGTTCCTCAGAAGGTTAAATATAGACTTACCATATGACTCAGCAATTCTACCCCTCTGTATGCACCCCAGAGAAATGAAAACCTATGTCCACATAAAAATGTGTACACAAATGTTTATAGCACCATTATTTATAATAGTTAAAAAGTGGAAACAACCCATATGTCCATCAGCTGATGAAGGGATAAATAAAATGTGGTATATCCACACAATGGAACATTATTCAGCAATAAAAAGGAGTAAGTACTGACATATGCTACAACACGGATGGACTTTGAAAACATCCTGAGTGAAAGAAGTCAGTCACAAGAGATCACATTTTGTATGATTCCATTTATATGAAATGTCCAGAATAGGCAAATCCTTTTAGACAGAAAGTAGATTAGTAGTAGTTGCTAAAATCTGGCAGGGCCAAGGAAAGGGTAGGTGATGGAGAATGGCTCCTAATATGTGCAAGGGTTTCTTTTTGGGGTGCTGAAATGTTCTAAAGTTAATCATGGTGTTGGCTATACAACACCATGAATAAACTAAAAAGCATTGGATTGTACACTTTACATGGGTTAATTGCCCATTATATGATTTATATCTCAATAAATCTCTTATTAAAAACAAATGTTAAACATATGTTAACCTCTTAATATAAATTAGCAGGTAAATTTTAATAAAATCTTATTTGATCTTTCTCAGAAAATGTGATCTTACATCAAAATGCATTGTCATTAGTGCCATTGTTGAGTCAAGAGCATTTTTTAAACATAATTTTCCAAATAAGAATCTCTTTCAGATACTACACTAATCAGAAGAACAATGCGGGCTATATGCCACTTCCCAGTGATTCCTTGACTTCTTTTGAATAATCACATCTCTTGCGTGATAACCTTGCAGAGATATTTATAAAACACCTTTTGATTTTTGACTAGGACTAGATTTTATTTTATAGACAGCTATATAGTTTTGTTTCAAGGTTCTTTTCTAGTTTTCATCATTTTCATTATTTTTATCATGTATATCTGGAGATTCCAAAGCAGAGTTATTTCTATTCAATTTTAGTATGTGATAATCACATTCTACTGGACAAGAAATTTTTTATTTTAGACTAAGAATTATTTCTTGCAACAGAAGCTTATCCATAACACTATGTGGTTTCTTTTTGCAATGTGCACAAGTGAGGGCCTGTCTAGACCACATATTATATGTATTTTTTAAAATAAATTGAGAAATTAAGTTATAGATATTTATTTCAAGATGTAAATAATTTAGATTTTTTTATTTTTTTAATACCAGAATAACAATTATGACAACAATGATTTGGACATTTAAAGAGAAGCGAGCATACTAGAATACTAAACGTCGTAAGTTATCTAGAAAAAATATATTGACTTACCAGTGTGTAAATAGTTAAGTCTTAAAAGCAGATCACAGCTCTAGAGTGATCTGTCTAGATAGTGCTAAAGGAATTGGAAAAAAAAAAGAGATCAATGAAATAAACACACTAGGATTTATGAGTTTTCAAGGAAAATATTTTTCCTTTACCTCCATCATCTCCTTTTTCTTGTCATTACTATAACTTTCTTAAGGCCTTTATCATAGCCAGAAAGCTAGACAAAGGAGAAAAAGGTGGTAAAAATGTCATACTGGGATGTTGAGAATCAGTTAATAATACTTCCTGGTAATGGGCAAGGATAGCCCTTCAATCTCTGTGACTAAAATTGACCTCTTGATCAACTGAACTATGATTAACTTCCTTGCTTACGCTACTTTTGTGGTTTTAATCACCTAAGTGACAGGCTTGTTTTATGTTTTGCATGCCTTTTTTTGTTATAAAGCGTTAGCTTCTCGGGAGTGGGTAGGGCCACATCTTATTCATCTTTGTGTCTCCAGGACTTAGCCCAGGGATGTGCATATTTTGGACACTCACTCAGTCAATATTTGGAATGAAAAGGTGGACCTAAACCCAAGATAAGGGTTCTCCAAGGTCACTTTAGGATCTTGAGAATTAGAGACTTGCAGTGTAAGAAATGTAAGAATAGAGTGGCAAAGTATGAACTAACAACCCAAGGATCAAGGCCTTAAGAACAGGAACAATCCTGGGAGTGACATTTAGAATGATAACCTGGCAAGAGCACGAGTGAAATGAGAAATATGGGGACATTGCACTAAAATAATTTTTAAATTAAACATAGCCCTAGTTTGTATGATGTGATAGAAAGAGTAGTAAAGAAGTGAAAAGAAAACTATGAATGCAGGGATACCTATTTTTGAAGAGAAATCTTCCCTTTTCCCTTGAGGGGCGGCAACAAAAAATTAACCAGATGAGAATCTTCCATTTGGTAACTATGCTGGACCTATTGTGATGCTCTTAAGCACATTAATGCTTAAAAGATGTATAAATGTTGGATATTATCATTTTTCATTTACCCCATTGTGAGGGTCTAGTCACCTGAGAACTTAGAGGGGACAGTAGTCCACAGAAGACCTGCCCTCATTTCAGACACCAACTGCAAGTTCAGGGGGTTACAACAACCGCCCAGGGGTTCAGTTGTTTCCTACAAGTGCTCAAAACTCCATGAAAGCTGGTACACTGATGGTTACAGTGTATTGTAGAGAAAGGATGTAGAGACAAATCAGCCTAGAGAAGACACACACTGGGCAGAGTCCAGGAGGCGTCCAAACATAGATCTTCCAGTTGTCCCCTTCTCATTGAGTCTTAGCCAGCGATAGCCCTCCCCAGCCGTGATGTGGGACGACACACATGGAGTACTGTCAACTAGGAAAACGCACCTAATCCTAGGTGTTCAGAGTTTTTATTGGAGCTCAATCACATACTCCCTCCAAGGTTGATGCCTAGTCTCCAGCACTTTCAGAGGTAGAGTTAGAACCCCTTGGCCCAAAATCCCCATCATAAATCACATTGTTAGACTATCTGGTCTAAAACCAGCCAAAACCACTAGGAAACAAAGATACTCCTATTGGGCAAAATGGTCTAAGGACCTGGAAATCATCTCCCAGCAACTTCCTTTAGTCCTTTGTGTAGCTCCAAGTTTTCACCTGGCATTATTTTCTTCCCACTTGAAGAATTTCCTTTAAAATTGAAGTTCAGGTCTCTTGGCAACATATTTCCTCTACCTTTGTTTATCTGAAAAAGTATTTATCTCACCATTTTTGAAAGATAGTTTCACTGGTGTGTATGTATACAGTTTAATGGTCAACTCTACAGGGGAAGAAGAGTGGGCCCCAAATGATGATTCCAGGGCCTGGAGGAGAGGAAAAGGAGCAGTCCTTCTGGAATAGAAGGCAACATGCTAGGTTGACAGCTTTGGTTTTTTTAGCACATTAGAGATTCTATTCCATTGTCTCATGGC